GGTCCAGAGCTAAGAAGAGAGGTCCAGACTGAATATGGCTTTAGGAGGCACCTGCATATGGATGGTAATGAATCTGCAGTGGATGTCTCCATTGCCAGAAAGATTGTGAATGGTGAGAACAGAAGATGTGGGGAAGAATCCTGGAAAACACCTACGCTTACATTTAAGAAACAGCCAGAAAAGAGCAGGCTGGCAAAGCCAACTGAAGTGGAGCCGTGCAGGGGCAGGAAGGCAATGGGGAGGGTGTGATGTCACGAGAGCCAAGGAAGAGAGGAGAGAAAAAGGGAGGATCAGAAGAACTAAACACAGCGGAGAGGCAGGTACAATGCAGACCGGAGAAGGGCTTTACTCAACCTAAGGTTGACGAGGTTGTCAGAGATCTTGGCCAGAGCACTTTCAGAGGAGTATTGGGGCAGGAGCCAGAGCGAGGTGATGTGACGGGTAAATACAGTACGGAGTAAGGATGGAGCATCATTCTTTCAAGAACTTTGTCTGGGGCTTCCCTGGTGGCGCAGTGGATAAGAATCCGCCTGCCGATGCAGGGGACATGGGTTTGAGCCCCGGTCCAGGAAGATCCCACATGCAGCGGAGCAACTAAGCCCGTGTGCCACAACTACTGAAGCCCACGTGCCTAGAGCCCGTGCTCCACAACAAGAGAAGCCACCGCAATGAGAATAGCCCGTGCACCGCAACACAAAGAGTAGCCCCCACTCGCCGCAACTAGAGAAAGCCCGTGTGCAGCAACGAAGACCCAATGCAGCCAAAAATAAATAAAATTAAATCTTTAAAAAAAATTTTAAAAAAAAGAACTTTGTGCAGGGTGGGGAGAGACAGGAGGAGGAGGACAGTGAGGGACTGTGGGGGGAGCAAGAATTGGTTTGAATTCTGACGGGAAGGAGTCAATATAGATGGAGAAGCCTCCCACCAAGAAGGACTTCTGTTCCCTAAGCCCAGGTCTTTTACAATATCTGCAAGCCTTCTGAGACGATGGGGGAGAATTTGGGATTGGTAAAGGGATAGGTGGGCTCTAAATTGTTTCTCGAGCCACATTTCTGTTCTTGGTGAAGACTTGATTTGTAAGACAGTACAGCTGTTTTTAATTCCTCAAAAAAAAAAAAAAAAAAAAACTGGGCTGCAACTTGAATGAAATAAGGTGCTGACCCACTCATCCAACTACATATCTGAAATTTGCTTCTTTGTATCGGAGAGAAGGTCTTCAACTAAGATGGAAATCAAAAGAAAAAAATAGAAACGTAACATATTTTTCTCTTACGTATTTATAAACTTTCCAGAGCACCTACTGTGTGTAAGGCCCCGGCTGCGTTGGATACTGCAGTTGGAGAGGGGTGGAGAAAGGTTGCAATTCGAGGTTAATAATTTTCCACCCTGTTCTTAGAAACATCTTCAAAGCCATGCTAACAGTTTGGCTCTGGTAGATAAAGTGCCATCAACCCTTGCCTCTGATGTTATTTGGTTCTCAGTCTTCTAGACATTGTTCCACTAATTGGCTTCCCAGAGCTGCTTGCTTGGCTCTGCCAAGGGGTGATTAACAGGCTGTGCTGATGCGGCTCCCAGCCCTCCCGAGGGGTAGCACGTGAGCTGGAGCCCTTGGAAAGCTGGGGGCCGGAGAGGGTCCTTCCTAAGGCCAGAGCATCCCATGGTTCCGGAGGCCTGAGGCTAAATTCCATGCAAGGCGCCCTTGTGCTTTATTTCTTCTCTGCGTTGACCTATCCTGGGAAAGACTTGGGACAAAGTACCGTTGTTTAGCTTGTGGACACAAGAAACAAACAAAAAGACATGGCTAAGAAGGGAACGGGGCATTCTAAGCTTGGGCTTCTCAAGCTATCTGTATAAAGGTTTGTTTTGTTTAATTTCTTGGTGTAGACTCACTTCCTGTCATTGGACCCGTAACACATTGTTCATGGACATGCCTTGGTTCAACGACCTGGCTTTGGTCAATTTCTTCTTTTAATAGTGATGCTAATTTGGATGCCTTACCCGTGCCCCGGGGGTTAGGGGTGGTCAACCGTATTTACCTTCAGAGCCCAGCGAGCTCAGGTCAGAGCCTTCATTCCACAGACTGTGTCTCACCCCCCTTCTGGTGGGTTTCCAGGGAAACAGGCCCCCAGACAAGGATTTGAGTGCTAGGAGATTACTAGGTAATGACCCCAGAAAGAATTGTTAAAAGATTGGGAAAATGAAATGAGGCAGGGAAGGAGTCACTAAGAGGGGGCATGAAAAGCAAGTCATCATGGGGGCAACTGGCCTTGGTCCTGCTCGGGGAAGTTCTGAGAAATCGGGGGACACTCACCTCGCAGTCAGTCCACTCAGGGCACAGGGTTTGGTGTTAATGCAGAGCTGCCATGCACAGGTTGAGAGCTGCTGGTGGTAATCCTTCCTCACTTCCTGCCCACAGGCTCTAGTGTGCAGAGAGCTTCCAGGCAAGAACAGGCAGGGAGCTCAGGCTGGAACAGCTGGACAAGGACGGAGTCAGCAGCCTGTGCTGCGCGTGCAGCCTCCAGGTACAGTGCCACAATGCCTGCGTTTTCCTTTTGCTCCGTGCCCATCGCATTGTTTGGAATTATCTGTTTCCTTGTTTCTTTCATAGAGTCTAGGACCTAGACTGTGAGCTCCTCTAAGGCAGAGGCTGTTCCCTCGATGTCTGAACCTCATCGTAGGGTGTGGTCTTTAGTACCCAGAAGATGAGGAATGCATAACTCTAACCCTCACAACACCCCAGGGTGGGATTGCTCTTATCCTCAGTTTATAGATGAAGAGACCGAGGCTCTGACAGTGCTGTGACCTGCACAAGGTTATGTAGCTAACCAGTGGCAGACTCAGATCTCCCAATTCCAAATCCTGGTTCTTCTTTGTCTGATTACAGCTACCTAGAATTTTCATCTCCATTCCTTACCCCCATGCTACCCTAACATGCACACACCTACACACACTTTTGACTCCCAATCTGTACATACTTGATACCTTTTTTTTTTTTTGGAAGCAGGCATGGCTTTCTTGACAGAAGAGAAGCCATTTTTCACCTAAGCCATTTTGTGATCTAAGCCTGGCCACAGTGCTTGCCCTGGAACAGGTCTCAGTAATTCATGATCTTAAGGGAACAAAAGAATGCAGGAACAAACTCTTACCAGGCAAGAGAAGTAACAACAGCAAAGATAATGTATCCGGGGTGGGGGGTGGGGGGCTTCCCTGGTGGCGCAGTGGTTGAGAGTCTGCCTGCCGATGCAGGGGACACGGGTTCGTGCCCCGGTCCGGGAAGATCCCACATGCCGCAGAGCGGCTGGGCCCATGAGCCATGGCCGCTGAGCCTGCGCGCGTCCGGAGTCTCCGCAACGGGAGAGGCCACAGCAGTGAGAGGCCCACGTAATGCAAAAAAAAAAAAAAAAAAAGATAATGTATCAGTTGTGAAGACTCCCAATCTGTTTCAATGGTATGGTAAAGATTAGCCTGAAGCGCCCAACCCCAGATCAACTGGAACCTAAGAGGTGATGATGTTGACCTTTTCTGACCCTCCTGAGTTTAGTCAACTAAAGCTCTGACTCTGTTGACAGCCCAAGCTCCTTCATGAACATGCATGTACATGAACATGCATGAAGCTTAAAACTTCCCCAATACAGCTGTTTGGAGAGACAGTGCTTTGGGAAAGTTCCCCCGATATTGTCCTCACTTGCTGCAAGTAATAAATCCTTCCTTCTCCTACTCTTTGGCTTGGTTGTGTCTTTTGGCTCGACACCCACCAAGAGGCGAACCCAGTTTTCGGGTAACAAGAATATTCTTGATAGATATTTACAGGTTGCAAACCCGGCCAGGGTCTTTGGAGTTGTCTATCTTGAGGCCGTTCAGGATGGCCCCCAATGGACTTCACAATATAAAAGGAAGGGAAGGAGAGTGGCTTCAGCTCTGTCTCCCTCAAGCTCACCGGGAACTGTCCCCTGGAGTCATACCCACCCTGTATCTCCTGAAGGTGTTTTTTTTTTTTCTTTTTTTTTTCTTTTATTGCGGTACGCGGGCCTCTCCCCGCCGTGGCCTCTCCCGTCGCGGAGCACAGGCTCGGGACGCGCAGACCCAGCGGCCATGGCTCACGGGCCCAGCCACTCTGCGGCATGCGGGATCCTCCCGGACCGGGGCACGAACCCACGTCCCCTGCATCGGCAGGCGGACTCTCAACCACTGTGCCACCAGGGAAGCCCCCCTGAAAGTGTTTTTAATTTCGGTGACTCTTAGCAGGCTCAGCTGTGCCTGTTGACTTTTTCCCTGCAAGGACTGCTTTGTTTTGTTTCGGTTTTTTTTGAATTTTATTTTGTTTATTTTTTTATACAGCAGGTTCTTATTAGTTATCTATTTTATACACATCAGTGTATACATGTCAATCCCAATCTCCCAATTCATCCCACCACCACCCCCCTGCTGCCACTTTCCCCCCTTGGTGTCCCTACATTTGTTCTCTACATCTGTGTCTCTATTTCTGCCCTGCAAACTGGTTCATCTGTACCATTTTTCTAGGTTCGACATCTGTGCGTTAATATACGATATTTGGTTTTCTCTTTCTGACCCTGGAAGGACTTGTGAAGCTTGCTTTTGAGTGCAGGCCCTGTGCCTGGCCCTACCACTCTCTCCATCGCTCTGCTCTCTTGCCACACTGGCTTCTGGGAATTCCTCAACCAATGTCTTGCTGTCCCCATCCTGGGGACTTTGCACATGCTGTTCCCTCTGCCTGGAAAGCAGTTCCCTTGCTTCTGCCTAATTACCTGTAACCCTTCCCATTGATCAGCTCTGGTGTCTTCCTGAGGGAAGACTTCTTTTTTTTTTTTTTTGCGGTACGCGAGCCTCTCACTGTTGTGGCCTCTCACGCTGTGAAGCACAGGCTCCGGACGCGCAGGCTCAGCGGCCATGGCTCACGGGTCCAGTGGCTCCGCGGCATGTGGGATCCTCCTGGACCGGGGCACGAACCCGTGTCCCCTGCATCGGCAGGCGGACTCTCAACCACCGCGCCACCAGGGAAGCCCCCTGAGGGAAGACTTCTTGCTCTGCACGCTTGCCGCCTTCACCCTCCACACCTGAGTGAGCCCCCTTACACTCCCTCACCTGGAAACTGTGCTACTTTCCTCTTGGCAATTATTCCAGCTTGAAAGTGGACACTATTTATTGGCATCATCTGTGGGCAGGACAGCTTCCCCTTTTAGAGTCTAAATTCCCTGAGAAGAAGGGACAATGTCTGGTTTTGCTCAGCACTTCATCTCCAGCTCAGAGCTGGTGTTCAAATATTTGGATTGCGTGAATGGATTAATGATCAAATTAACAGCTAATCCTCACCAGCTCCTCCCAAGATAACCATTATTAATCTCATTTTATAGATAAGGAGACAGAAACTCAGAAGGTTTGGGCTTGCCTAAGGCCAAACAGCTTTTGAGGATGACAGCTCAGCATTTGGATTTAGAGCTGCCTGATTTCAACAGCGTGGGGACCTTGGGGAGGAAGGCTGGATGGAGTCATTTAGGGAAATTTGAGTCCTACCTGTTTGTTTTCTTTGTTGATGCTCATGAAATTATTTAGTTATCTGTGTTGATAGGAAACTGAGATGCAAGCAACACTAGGCTGGAGGAACGAAGATCATGACAAGGTGAGGCTCGGCCTCGGTCTGTCATGGGAATCAATGAAGTGGGGCGCCAGGTGTTTACCATAACAGTTCTACCAAGAGACCTGAACAGCATCACAATGCAGAGCGATTTCCTTGCCCAAAAATGGTTGTGTGTGTGTGTGTTGTTTTGTTTTGTTTTGCTCTTTTATCCCGAGGGAACTGCATTCTTTGCTTGAATAATTGGTGGGATACCAAGTAAGCAGGCTGGGGACTTCCCTGGCGGTCCGGTCCAGTGGTTAAGACTCGGCACTTCCAATGCAGCGGGTGCGGGTTCGATCCCTGGTTGGGGATCTAAGATTCCACACGCCGCGTGGCGTGACCAAAAAAATAAAAAAAAAATAATAAAATAAATACATACAAAGTAAGCAGGCAGGAAACTCACTGCTGTTGTAGGCAATTACTAGCCTAGGAGTTGAGAGATGGGGGCTCTGGGTGCAGCAGTGTCAGACCCCTCCTGTATCCACCACCCATCACCCTCGGTACGTATGTCCGACCCCAGACCCATTCTGACTGGAAACTAAAATGAATTAATCAGCCTCAGCCCCTCACTATCCCGCTCAGATTTACCCCACCTCCACGCCTGCCGCAGCTGGGCAGCCCCAACTTGCATGTGCCTAAAGAACCTAGATGATGAGCACTAAAAACCACGTGTCAGAAAGGGAGCCATTCCTTAAGGACTCATTGCTTTGTAGACACAGTCTTTGACACCTCCCGCGCCCCAGCATTTTGTATCTGTTTAACTTTGTTGATCCCCGAAGACTGAACACACAGAGCCCTGGCTTAAGTCTGAAGAGTTGTCCCTATTGGGCTTAACAAGCCGCTGCTTTTGACCGGCTTACTATGAGTGTCATTGCTTTCAGTGCCCCGTTCCACTGATCTTCACAGAATAATATTATGGAAAGATCAATAGAACTGTGTTTTTATTTTATTTATTTACTTATTTATATATTTTTAAAAGGTGGGTTTTTTTAAAATTAATTAATTAATTTATTTTTGGCTGCATTGGGTCTTCGTTGCTGAGCGTGGGTTTTCTCTAGTTGCGGCGAGCGGGGGCTACTCTTCGTTGCGGTCCGCAGGCTTCTCATTGCGGCGGCTTCTCTTGTTGCAGAGCACGGGCTCTAGGCGTGCAGGCTTCAGTAGTTGTGGCTCGTGGGCTCTAGAGCGCAGGCTCAGTAGTTGTGGTGCATGGGCTTAGTTGCTCCACGGCATGTGGGATCTTCCTGGACCAGGGCTCAAACCCGTGTCCCCTGCATTGGCAGGCGGATTCTTAACCACTGTGTCGCCAGGGAAGCCCTAGAACTATGTTTTCAAATTAAAAAAAAAAGTTGTTCTAACAGCAAAACCTTTTTTTTTTTTTTCCAAGTGATATCTTACAGGGAGCCTCAGTATAGAGGTCAATGTGGGCAGAACTGCTGATGTTGGAGGGTTTCAGGGGACCTGGAGGCCAGCCCAGGCCAATCCAGCTCTATGGAGCAGTGGAAAAGCCATCACTCTCAAATAATCACTCGAGTCCACTTGCAGCAAAGTTTGTAAAACAAAGGTATCGACTGTTGAAACTGAACTCTCGTACAGCAGGCAGGGCCCCCATGTCCTGCCCTGAAATGTTTGTTTGTGATCCCCAAACCTTCTGATGTGTGAATATGTCTGCCTTTGCACATGGATAGTGGTCATGAGCGTCAGTGTATAATTCATGAAAATGGACCCAGTGCTGGAAAGAACATACCAGCAAGGCCACCTGCAGTAGGTGGCCGGGGTGTGATCATTTTAAATTCTCAACCCGCATCCGTTCTTCTCTCCCTACGTACCATGTTCCCATTCTAATAACTGGGGTTCTGTGGCCATGGTCTTCACTCTCACCCTCATGGCGCTGTTAATGAATGTCAGTTCTAACATCTGGGGTCAGCTGAGCCCTGGTCCCTGCTTCTCAGTCTGCTTCTCAGCTGCCTGAGCCTCTCGGTTTCCGACTAAAACTGGAGGCTGGGCCTTATCTGTCTCTGCCCACCTCCTTGGATCCGATGCCTTGCCTCCTGAGATGGTTATAAAGTGCATAAATCAGGGATGGACTTACACTCGGCATTCAATATCATTTGACATTTTTGTTGTCGTTATTTTTACTTTTTAAAAATTCTGACTCCTATTTCGTGCAACCCTGGAACCAGTGAAAATCATGTTTCACCCTCTTGGGATCATGAGGTCAGCTTTACTTTACCAGTAATGGCATGACATGTCATGGTTGTATGCACTTAATCTCTATCACAGCCCTCATGAGGGACTTATTGATCTTATTTTATAGCAAACGAACAAACAAAACCCCACGCCCTCAGATTGCTCTGCTCCCTCAGTGTTTCGTTTGCAGATTAGGTATGAGAGGAAATCCCTTAATAAGTAAAAAGGTAATAAAATACGAAAACACACACAAAATACATACGAAAAGGCCAATTAGAACTGCTATTATAATGGTTACACTAGATAGTCCAGCATTGTCAAAGATCACGTTTTATTTTGAATTTTAGTAAGCAAAGTGGTTTTTGAAGTACGTATTTATTTGATTGGACTTAGGATCAGCTACGCCCACTGTCCAACTTCAGTGCTGATCTCAACGCTGCTCCTCCTGTACTTACGTTCTTGGGAAAAAGCATCCACGGCTCTTGGGAGGTTTTGTTTGCCTTTTCCTCCAATGAAAAGGGCCTCAGAAAAAAGGGTCTCGTTTAACGCTCTGATAAAAGCTTGGGAGCCTTTCCCTGGGAAAAATGCCCATGCTAACACAATCTTGTACATAATTTCAGGATGTTGATACATTCCCCCAAAGCCATGGACCCAGATAAAAACTCCTGTTTTCCAGTCCGGACATTGGAAGATGACGATGAAGTTGATATATGAAGAAGCACAAATTGGACAGCTGACCCTAATAAATCATAGAGGAGGAACAGGTGACAAGCACACACTCGTACCCACGTGACTTGACTTCTCCCAGCTCGCTCCAGCACAGGACAAGCGGCAGGTGTGGCTCACCGCCCCTGTGGCAAGCCGCTGACACGGTGAGAAGGACAGAGCAGAGGCAGGACCGGGCTGTGCTGATCTGATAAGGGGATTAAGTTTTGGCTTCCCTCCCACCATCCCTAATGCCCTCGGACTAAGCAGCTGCCCCAGCTCAGTTCTTCCTCGGATGCAAAACGTCTCTCTGCCCAGGCAGTCGCTGCATGCTGGCCCCCAGAGGCACCAGCCTTTCCTGAAACACATGGTGACGTTCTTTACACCTTTGCCCAGGCATGCCCTCTGTGGGCGATGCCCCGCCCCTCCGGTCAAGTACCCACTTGCTCTTCGAGACTGGCTCAGGTTTCACCTCTGAGCTGTTGCCCTAGTTCTGGGGGTGGGTTTAGCTGCTCCCTCCTGCGCTCTGCTCGCCCCACACCCACCCCTCTCCTTCCTGTGCTTACTACGCGGTAAGTGTGGGCCTCCTACAGCAGTTATTTTTTCACATGATTGTCTTCTCCATCAAGAGGATGAGCTTCCTGAGGACAAAGACCAGCTTCTTCCAAGCGTCTGGCGCCTAACAGTTACTTTATAAACATTTCTGGTCGGACTTCCCTGGCGGTCCAGCGGTTAGGACTCTGAGTTTCCACTGCTGGGGCCCAGGTTCGATCCCTGGTCGGGGAGATAAGATCCTGCAAACCCGGCAGCACGGCCAAAAAAGAAAAAGAAAAGTTTTGGGGATGCTATGACTGAGTGATATATATATGGTCAACCTATGAAAAGAAAGCAGTATGATACAGGACACGTGTAGGAGACAGACACACTGGAGAGGCAGCAAGTTCATGAAAACTTCTTTCCTAAAAGTAAAGACAAGTCACGAGGGTATATAAGAGCTGCCTGAAGCGGAGGGAGCAGTGTGATACGTGAGCAGCTCAAAGGGGACACAGACGGTGCACCCGGCAGGCCAGAGGCTCTGAACCTGGAGCCTGGACCCCAAGAGCCGCTTACAGCAGAGTCCCCGAAGGGCCTCCTGGAGCAGGAAGGTGCTGTGGGACTCCATCTGCCTTCCCCACACTCTGTAACAAGAGCAAGCGCTTGGTTTTGTTTGGTTTTGTTTCGTTTTATTTGGCTGCACCGTGGCTTGTGGGATCTTAGTTTCCTGACCAGGGAATCGAACCCGGACCCCCTGCAGCAAAAGTACCATGTCGTAACCACTGGACCGCCAGGGACTTCCCAAGAGCGAGCACACTGACAGTTCGTCTTCGTGCAGAGGTCTCATTTTCCTAGTGCATCTCACACACCTAATGTTTATCAGGCCCACGTGCTTTCATTTTCTTTTAATAAAACCTCTGGGCCTTAACCCTGAATTGAGAGGGTCTGGGAGGAGCGGTGTGGCAGGAGGACGAAGCTGGTGCAGGAAACGAGGCAGTCCTGCACAGACGGGAAGGGATGTTCCATCAGCAGGAAACAGCCCTCAAAACCAGTCACATCAGAAATGGGTGACACCATGATGAACTGTTAGTGACGAGACATAAATGGAAATTGAGGGGTCTGACAGAGGGAACTTAAGAGAGACAAGAGGTGTAACACCCCCTCCCCCCTGAGCAATCACCTTCAGCGGACACTGCCATTTGGAGCCTCAAAACCCTAGGCATCGGGTTAGCCCCGTGTTTGCACGTATGTTTAGCCACAGACCACTTTTCTGGAGTACATCCTATACAGTAAGTCCAACAGGTCCAGCAGATAAAGGAGAAGCAGCAGTGAGGGGGCCAGAGCCCGCACACTTCCCCCTCTCCTCCCCGAACCCAGTACCCCTGGAGGCAGGAAGGTCTCTGAGGAAGCCAGTTTGAAACCTATTGCACTAAATTACTGGTCTTAGTCTTGGCATCCCAAACTCCAATGACCCCAAAGTCCAGATGGACAGCATAAAAGAGTGACACTGGCTTGTTTTGGCTTTGACAAAATTGGGGTGTCCTAATAGAGGGAACCCCAGAGGAAAAGCTGTGCTTCCTCCACGGGATTGATTGTTGCTAGACTCTGGCAGACCGAGGAATGCAGCCGGCTCTGTGTTCACAGACCAGATTTTTCCATTGAAGCCAGAAATCCAGATTTTCCCATGAACTCACCTGACTTTAAAAAAAAAATTAATAGACTATTTTTAGAGAAGTTTTAGGTTACAGAAAAAATGCATGGAAAGTACAGGGAGTTCCCATATACTCCCTCCCCCAGCCCCATTCCAGTTTCTCCTATTATTAGCATCTTGCCTTAGTGTGGTACATCGGTTACAATTGATGAACCAATGTTGATACATCATTACTAACTAAAGGCCATGGTTTACATTCATTCTTTGCGTTGTACGTTCTATGGATTTAGACAAACGTATAATGGCATGTATCTGCCAACACAGTACGAACCAGAGTCATTTCGTTGCCCTCAAACTCTTCTGTGCTCCACCTATTCATCCCTCTTCACTTACCCTCCCAGCAACCCCTGGCCACCACTGATCTTTTCACTGTCTCTGTTCTTTTCCAGAATGTTCATATCTTTGGAACTGTACAGTATGTAGCCTGTTCAGACAGGCCTCTTTCACTTTGGAAATATGCATTTAAGTTTCCTCCACGTAACTCCCGATTTTTAACTACTGAAAATAAATTGAAATAGTCACAAAATACTGAAAGGTAGACCTTCATCCTACACCTCTCTTGGTTGGACGAGGAGGTACGTTTCTCTCGCTTTTTACAACCGGTATTGGAGGTGGGGGATGGGGGAGAGGGAGAGGGTCATCTCAGAAATGGAGGCGAATGTGAGGGAGAAATGGTTCCTGAAGGAAGCATGGCTTCCAGTTTCCAGTTTTGCTTCTGCTTTCTGGTTCAAGCTCGCTCAGCTTGGGATGAGCCCCTCCACCTTCAGTGTGCCTGCCTCACCCAGAATCCCACCTGGTTCTCACTCCATCCTCTTTCTCCCCCACTCCCACCCACCCCACTTGATTCAGAGAGAGAGAGAGCACAGTGAAAATGCCCGTGGAGGCCCTATGTTCTCCCTCCCGGCTGTGTCCGTGGCCAGGGTTTGCCCAGAAGCATCCAGCAGAGCCATCCTCCAATAAGATTTAGCAGCCCTGGCTGCCGGCAGCCAAAGCCAGTGATACCTGGATAATATTTCTTAACATGAGGTTCACAGCTTGTTTTTATGCTCATGCAACATTCATATAAGAAGAACCATGTTTGCATTTAAAACTTGTGGAGCAGCTTAAGAACATGGGTCTGGAATCAGACAGTCCTGGGCTCAGATGACATTTCTGCTGCCGCTAACTAGCTAAATCCATACCCACTCTGGGCCTCAGTTTTCTCATCTGCAAAAATGAGCACAATAATGCCTTCTCTGAGAGCTATTAAGAAGATTGAATGCTGCATGTGGCTTACACACAGAAATGTTCACTGAGCGTCAGTTCCTTGTCTGCTCCTTATGGGGAGCTAGAGACCTGGGTCTTAGTTCCAGCTTTGTTATCATCCAACTTTGTGTCTAGGAATTAGTCACAAATCGGAGACCACAAGCCAGCAGCTGCCCTGCTCCTATTTATTTTTTAACTTTTTAAAAATTGAAAACGCTTTTTTAAAATTGAAGTATAGTTGCTATACAATATTATATGTTATAGGTGTACAATATAGTGATTCACAATTTTTAAAGGTTTTCCTCCATTTATAATTATTGTAAGATATTGGCTATATCCCCCATGTTGTACAATATATCCTTGTAGCGTATTTTATGCCTAACATCAATAGTTTGTACCTCTTACTCCCCTACCCCTATATTGCCCCTACCCCCTTCCCTCTCCCCATTGGTAACCACTAGTTCTCTATATCTGTGAGTCAGCTTCTTTTTTGTTATATTCACTAGTTTGTTGTATTTTTTAGATTCCACATGTAAGTGATATCATACAGTACTTGTCTTTCTCTGACTTATTTCACTTAGCATAATATCCAAGTCCATCTATGTTGCTGCAAATGACAAAATTTCATTCTTTTTTATGGCTGAGTAGTATTCTGTTGTGTGTGTGTATATATATATATATATAAAAAATATATCTCACATCTTTTTTTTGTTTTAGCGGTACGCAGGCCTCTCACTGTTGTGGCCTCTCCCGTTGCGGAGCACAGGCTCCGGATGCGCAGGCCCAGCGGCCATGGCTCACGGGCCCAGCCGCTCCGCGGCATGTGGGATCTTCCCGGACTGGGGCACGAACCCGTGTCCCCTGCATCGGCAGGTGGACTCTCAACCACTGCGCCACCAGGGAAGCCCTCACATCTTTTTTAACTTTTTATTTTCTATTGGAGTATAGTTGGTTAACAATGTTTTGTTAATTTCAGGTGTGCAGCAAAGTGATTCAGTTATACATATACATGTATCTATTCTTTTTCAAATTCTTTTCCCATTTAGGTTGTTACATAATACTGAGCAGAGTTCCCTGTGCTATACAGTAGGTCCTGGTTGGTTATCCATTTTAAATACAGCAGTGTGCACATGTCAATCCCACGCTCCCAATCTATCCCTTCCCCCCACCCTTCCCCCCACCCCTGTAACTATAAGTTCATTCTTTAAGTCTATGAGTCTGTTTCCGTTTTGTAAATATATTCATTTGTATCAATTTTTTTTTAGATTCTGCATATAAGTGATATTTGTCTTTCTCTGTCTGACTGACTTAACTCCATATGACGATCTCTAGCTCTACCCATGTTGCTGAAACTGGCATTATTTCATTCTTTTTAATGGCTGAGTAATATTCCATTGTATATATACACCACATCTTCTTTATTCATTCATCTGTTTTTCTTTTTTTAACTACATGCATCCATTTATTTATTTATTTTTATTTTTAAATTTATTTTTGGCTGCATTGGGTCTTCGTTGCTGCTTGCAGGCTTTCTCTAGTTGTGGTGAGCGGGGGCTACTCTTCATTGTGGTGCGCGGGCTTCTCATTGCGGTGGCTTCTCTTGTTGCAGAGCACGGGCTCTAGGCACTTGGGCTTCAGTAGTTGTGGTGCACAGGCTTAGTTGCTCCGCGGCATGTGGGATCTTCCCAGACCAGGCATTGAACCCATGTCCCCTGCATTGGCAGGTGGATTCTTATCCACTGTGCCACCAGGGAAGTACCCATTCATCTGTTGATGGACACTTAGGTTGCTTCCATATCTTGGCAATTGTAAATAATGCTTCTATGAACATTAGAGTGCATGTGTCTTTTTTTTTTTAACATGTATCTTTTCTAATTCGTGGAAAACCTTTTTTTAATGGAACATCTTTTTATATACACTCAGAAAGTACACATATCAGGGAGTTCTCTGGTGGTCTAGTGGTTGAGATTTGATGCCTTCACTGCCGTGGCCCAGGTTCAATCCCTGGTCAGAGAACTGAGATCCCACAAGCTGTGCGGTGTCACAAAAAGAAAAAGAGAAAAGAAAGAAAGAAGGAAAATATACATATCATAACTCTGCACCTTGATGAATTTTCAAAAATTGAACACACTGTATACTCAGGGCCCAGATGGGAAATAGCATCCCCAGAACCTTCTCGCTCCCCCTTCTGGTCGCTCACCCTGCAAGAGCATGACTACCATCCTGACCTCCAGCACCCTCAATTGTAGCTCTGCCTGTGTTTGTACCTTATATAAATGGAATCCTGCAGTACGTGCTCCTGGGTCTGGTTTCTTTTGCTCAACACTGTTTGTGAGATTCATCCATATTGTTGGGTGTGGCTGTAGATTGTCCATTTTTATTACTGTATTGTAGGGTTGGCATTCTACGGCTGGCAGGCCAAATTCAACCTTCCATCTGTTTTCATAAGTAAAGTTCTGGGGTTTTTTGTTTTTTGTTCTTGTTTTTTTAAACATAGCCATGCCAATTAAGTTCTGTACATGTCTATGGCTGCATTCTGCACTGCACTACAGAGACAAAAGCTGAGAAGACCATAAGGTCCACAAAGCTGGAGATACTATCTGGCCCTTTATAGAGAAAGCTCTGGGACTTCTACATAGTATTCCATTGTGTGAATATACTAACATTTATTTATTCATTTCACTGTTAATGAGCAGTTGTGTAGTTTCCGAGTTGGGGCTATTAAGAGTAATGTGCTAAGAACATCTCTTAAATGTCTTTTGGTGAAACATGCGTGTGCACTTGTGTTGTGTCTGTTCCTGGGAGTGAATTTGTTAGATCATAGGGCAGAGGTGAGTTTAACCTTATCAGAAACCGTCCATCAGTTTTCCAAAGTGGTTGTGCCGTTACCTCTCCCGTGAGCAGTGTCCGGAGCTCCACTTGCCCCATACACTCTCTGCACTGGTATTTCCTGCCCTCATCATTTTAGCCATTTTCCCTGCTCCCATTTTGATGCTTCTCCTCTTTCTATAAGTTATTTCTCAGTTTGTGGTTGGGCACCTCCAGGGTTAGAGCACTCACTGCATCTAGGGGGCAACTGTTTCATCTTTGGACATTTTGTTTTCTTAAGAAGCTCTTCGTCATTGGATCACCTTTTGGATATTTAAAGATCAATACATGTGTCCCCACTGAATGCTGTCTTCTCCCAGGGAAAGAACACTAAACATTTCCAGCTTCTTTAAAGTCACTTGTATATGGTTTGCGTGCCCTCACCATCCTGGTTGCCTGGTGAACAACAGGCTTAGCATCTCTGGACCTCAGTTTACCCATCTGTAAAATAAGGTTTGATTCAAAGATCTTTAAAGTCATTTTAACTCCAACATTCTGTGCTAAACCTTAACTTGGGAACCCTTGCAGAGATACCCCTATACATTTCTAAACAGGGGCCACCCTCCCCTAAATGTTCCTGTTAATGTTTATCTGCTGACAGTAGCAAATGGAGACATTTATTCATTCCATTTCTCTTCCTTCCGACATAGTTTCTGAGAGCCAAGGATGTTCCAGTTGTGGCAGAAGGAGCTCATGGTGGTAAGACTGATGTGGGTTTCTCCTGTCACACACACGGCTCCAGCAGGAAGCAGGAAGGGAAAGTGGATTGTGTGCCGGGGGGACCCCGTATCGTCCATGGGAGGCTGTAAGTGTGCCAAGTGCACTTTAAGAAGGCGAGATCAGGGGAGATGTCGGCACTGATGAACTTCACCAGAGGCTGGAGGGTGACTGGGGGAGGGAGGAGTTGGTGCTTGCCTGAGCCTGGTCACTGGAGGACGGTAGACTGAGGCATCGGGGGAATGCAGGTTTCACCCTCAGCCTTCTCAGGATTTATTCGTTTGCAGCAAATGACTCCCAGGCCAGACTGCTCTCTGCTTTCTTTTTGACATAAGTGTCAGTGGTGTGTAAGGATGGAAGAATAGGTCAGCAAGTCTGGATGTCAGCCCCCTCTGATATTTGAATTTTGCAGAGACCAGCCTAATTTTTAAAAAATCAATTTATTTATTTTTGGCTATGTTGGGTCTTCGTTGCTGCATGCAGGCTTTCTCTCGTTGTGGCGAGAGGAGGCTGCTCTTCATTGCGGTGCGTGGGCTTCTCATTGCGGTGGCTTCTCTTGTTGCAGAGCATGGGCTCTAGGTGCATGGGCTTTATAGTTGTGGCCCGTGGGCTCAGTAGTTGTGGCGCATAGGCTTAGTTGCTCCACATCACTTGGGATCTTCCCGGACCAGGGCTCAAACCTGTGTCCCCTGCATTGGCAGGTGGATTCTTAACCACGGCGCCACCAGGGAAGTCCAAGACCAGCCTAATTTAACTGACCCAAACACTGTCAAAATGTGAAGGCAGGACAGAGAAGATGAAAATACTAATTAGGTTTGCAAGATATTAAATTCCACAGTCTAATAGGAACACAGCTTTGAATTTTTAAAAAGGAAACCTAGCTGTCATGTGTTAATTCATTTAAGCCTCACAATTTAAGCCCATGCAGTGGAGATCACCCTTGTTTTATGAATGGGGAAACTGAGACACTGAAAGCTTTAGAACTTGCCCAGTTTGTAAGGATGAAACCAGGATTACAAACTCAGGCTGTCTAGTTTTACAG